AACTCAAAAAAAAAAAAAAAAAAAAAAGACCTAACTTAAATCTGATCAAGATGCTAGAACTAACGTTTATACAAAAACATGCAGTAGAAAAACATATCAGATGACACCATGAGGTTGAAATCAAATCGATGTAGAAATGACAATCCAATTTTTTCAAGAAATAAATGTTCTAAAGAAGAGGGGAAAAGTATGATGAGGATAACTTAAGAAATTAAGGCATTTGCATACCACTGAAATCTAGAAGGGTATATACCAGACTGTTAACAGGGAGGCTAAGGGGGAGCAGAAGGCAGGATGGCTGTGAACAGACACTTTTACTTCTTATCATATACACTTGTATACTGTTTAAATGTGCAACAAAACCATATATTGCCTTGGTAATTTAAGAGTGAAATTATACATAATAGTTAAATGAATTTTTAAAAAAGCTTTGCATTAGGCTATTTCATATTTCACATCAGGCTGAAAAGTTTAGGGGCTGAATTGTTTTGTGTTTTTCTCTTGAATCTGATTTTATAATGTGATTTATTTGCTGGCACTGTTATGGATTTGTTGTTAATAAAAACCAGGTTTGACTAGCTTTTATATTCTTTATTGTAAGTATTATTTAGTGAGGTGAGAGTAGCATATATTACATTTGCTGGCATATCAAGCACAAATATCTAATATTCTATTTTCAATGACTTTTTCTGTTAATGCTATTAAACTGGAATTTCAGGTTTCAAATATATATATAGAACATTTAGTATGTAAATACTTAAGTTGATACCTGGAGAAAACAAAGCATATATAGTAAAGGATTGAAAAAAAATCCTTCCAAAGCATTATAAGTACTTACTTGAAAAGTGTTCTTGGTCAACACCATTACTACTTCCCACTGTATTACAGAACTGTGTATTTGTTATCAAGTTGTGCATCCCAAGTATAGCTATAAATATAGAAAAAGAAAATTAGATTTTACTTCCATTTGTTTTAAACATAATTAACGTACCTATTGTCATCAATGACCTTGTTATTTCTCCCCACACTTCTGATTTCATTACACTAGCTGGAGCTAGTATAATGGAGCCAGCCTAACCCTAAACATAAAACCCAGTGCTTAGCTCCATCTAGTGGCTAAGAGAGAAAACTGAAATGATCTATTTTTGCTGTTCATCTGTATCACAAGGTTTCTAGGAACATAATGTGATAAAAAGTAGATTTTCAACTCAAATCTTCACATTCGTTAATCTCGTATCATTCATTTTTATCTGCATCCTAACTAAGAGTAGAAAACCAAAAGTATTAGGCTCTCAAATTTAAGAATAAAGTAACATCCCTCAAAAATGACATTTAGGAGGAAAAACAAATTTGGTTTTAGTTTGTGATGCCCTTTTTCACAAATAAGGCAGAAACTACGGTATGCCCCTGGCTCATTCCACTCTGATGAATGTACCATGTACAGGTCCAGCAGCCCTCAGTCCCTCAAGGAATAAGCCACCTGCTCTGGCTATAGCACCACACTTGACTCATCCCTTTCCACGGTCCTTCCCAAAGAACCATCAGTGCTACTTTTAAACATGTTTGCTCTTGGGGCTATTTGGTATTAAGATCTCCCCTATGCATCATATTCGTCCATCTAGGAAAGTGAGCTGTGTGGGGTAAGTTTGGGGAAGATACTGGTCTAGATAAGAAATTGGCAATGATGAAAATAACACAGAGGTTTGGAGTGTTGCATACACACTTCAGAAAAGTTGAGAAAGTGGTATGTACAGCTCAGTAACTGGTTCATCTGTTTCCCAGTACTCATCTCTGAGTCTTCTGATAAAATGTGGCAGCAGGTGACCCAAAAGACTCTTAAGTGCTCAGGTGGGACAGCTTTTAGCTGAGTACCAGTTGATAAAAAACCTTTAGAAAGATTGTGGAATAGGGTGACATGGAAAAAGAAGTCAAATAATGAAATACATTTTATTAATATAAAAACTCTGCCACTGAGAGTATTTTAAAACATAAAATCCTTTATGTCAGATTTATTGAGTAAAAAAGAAAGCCAAATATGTGGTTTACTAATTCAATAGCACTTTGCTAGGTAAAGCAAGCGTTTGTATAGTACATACGGGTGCGTGCTGGTATTCCCCTCCACGCCCCCATACTCATTCACAAATTAATTTGTTTTTGGTGATACCTGCAAGGTCACACAATTCTGTATCAGAAGCACTTGTCAAAGCTTCTTCTAATTCTGGATCAAGCGATACCTTTTCTTCTGTAAAAGTCTGTACAGGTTTCTGTTTGGGGATGAAAATTTTCCCTGTAAAATAAAGCATTTTGTTAATTCCACTACTACTGCTACTATTTTACCCTTCTAACAAATATAAGTAAAAGTATGTATAAGGCCAGGTATTGTAACTCCTGCCTGTTAATTCCAGCATTCTCTTTGAGAGACCAGAGCAGGAGGATAGCATGAGTTCAGGAGTTCAAGATCAGCCTAGGCAATATAATGAGAACTCATCTCTATGAAGAAAAAAAAAATTAGCCAGGAATGGTGGCACATGCCTATAGTCCCAGCTACTGGGGAGACTGAGGTGGAAGACCACCTGAGCCCAGAAGGTCAAGGCTGAGATGAGCTGTGATCAAGCTATTGCACTCCAGCCTGGGCAACAGAGTGAGACTTTGACTAAAATTAAAAAAAAAAAAAACCCATAAAAGTATACATAATTGAAATCAAAATAAAAGTTGAAATTAGCATCTATAGTAATTTTGCTTCACCTTGTATATGAATGTATAAGTTTCCAAGGCAATAGGTTGGCTGTAGAAGGTGGAACAAAAAGATCAACTGAGAATTTTTTCATCCGTGGAAATAAAAATAGGCTCTTTTTGAATCAATCAATAAATGAACAAAAAGCCTATAAAACATTAAAGAGATTTAAAAAACAGAATCTAATTTCTTATTCTTTTTTTTTTTTGAGGTGGAGTCTCACTCTGTCACCCAGGCTGGAGTGCAGTGGCACACTCACAGTCACCCCAGCGTTGACCTGCTGAGCTCCGGTGATCCTTCCACCTCAGGCATCCAAGTTGCTGGAACTACAGGCACGTGCTACCACGCCCAGCTAATTTTTGATTTATTGTAGAGACGCGGTCTCGCCAAGTTGCCCAGGCTGGCAGGCTGGTCTCAAACCCATGGGCTCAGACAATCCACTCGCCTTGGCCTCCCAAAGTGCTGGGATTACAGGCTGAGCTACCAAACCTGGCCTAATTTCTTATCCTTTTTTTTTTTTGAGTTGGAGTCTCACTCTGTCACCCAGACTGGAGTGCAGTGGCCGCTCCCGGCCACCGCAGCCTCGACCTGCTGGGCTCCGGCGATCCTTCCGCCTCAGCCTTCCGAGTAGCTGGAATTACAGGTATGCGCTACCACGCCTGGCTGATTTTTTGATTTATTGTAGAGATGAGGTCTCGCTGCCCAGGCGGGTCTCGAACCTGCAGGCTCAGGCAATCCACTCACCTCAGCCTCCCAAAGGCGCGGGATTACAAACTGAGCCACCAAGCCCGGCTAATTTCTTATTCTTAAAGCAACAAGCTTATATAGTCATTTGGGGCAGAGGCAGTTATGATTCCAGAAAGTCAAGTTCTAATTTTAAAGAAATTTCTATGTCCTGAATAGTATTCTGAAGCTTTTGATCAAGGTTTCCCTGAATCTTGATGAACACTAACAAGGCTGCCTGCTAAGAAACTACTCTAGAGACCCAAAGTCTCTGTTAAAATCATGTTTATATCATATGTTCAATCCAAGATTGAAACTATGAAGGGAAAAGAAAATGACAGCACCTGCAGCACTAGCTGAACAAACAAGATGAACTCACACAAGGTGGGAACTGTGTTACCAATGTTGCTCTAAGTTTCTCTCCCAAGACAAGTGAAAATTCTAACTCAAATTGTTTGGCAAAGCCTGTGTATAGATTTAAAGAAGTGTCAATTGCTTTCTCTTCTGTCAAGACACTATGAGGAAAATATGTGAGACTACGTGGACTTCTGAATCTATGAAGTACTCTATCAAAGGAAATGTTGTGGGCTTATATAATTAATGCAGCAGGTGCTGTGTACTTCTTGTTCAAGGCAAGTACAGATTTGACCAACACTGGTGAAGCTAAACTCACCTAAAGGATCTTTATTTCTGATATTATATTTCCATTTGGTTCTTTTAAAAAATTATTTCCATGTCTCTGCTGAAATTTCCCATTTCTTCACACATGCTGTGTACCTTTTCCACCATATTCTTTGGCATTTTTATCATAATTATGTTAAATCTCTGACTGATAACACCTAATATCTGGGTCACCTCTGGATCCTCTATTGACTGTTTATACTCCTGACTATGGTCACATTCTTACTTTCATGTGTCTTCAGATTTTTTTTTTTTTTTTTGAGTTGGAGTCTCACTCTGCTGCCCAGGCTGGAGTGCGGTGGCATGCTCATGGCCAATGCAGCCTCGACCTGCTAGGCTCAGGTGATCCTTCCATCTTATCCTCCTCAGGAACTACAGGCACATGCCACCATGCCCAGCTAATTTTTTGATTTATTGTAGAGATGAGGTCTTGTCAAGTTGCCCAGGCTGGTCTCAAACCTGTGGATTCAGGCAGTCCTCTCACCTTAGCCTCCCAAAGTGCTGGAATTATAAGGCATGAGCCACCACGCCCAGCATGTCTTCAGATTTTTGACTGTGTGCTGAGCATTTTGTATAAAAGTAGAGCAGAGATGGAAGAATATATTTATTTTCACAAAGGAGCACGATCCTTTGGTCAGGGTTGAATCAATATGCTTTACAGTTAATCTGGATTTGAGCCTTGTTACAACTTTAGTTTGACTGGATCCTTCACTGGCTTCAAACATTTTGAGAACTGGATCAGGAGTTTCCCTTCTCGGCAAGGTCTGGGATTAGAACCCCGGTGAGAGACTGGAGATGTGCTGAGCTGCCCACTTTTCTGAACTGTGAGAGATTTCTTCCTGATGTATAGTCCTGGCTGTCAACTTTCTGAGTAATTGAGGAGCTCTCTTTGGTTTCCAGCCTCAGCCCCTGCTTTCTGTATCTTGAGGATCTTTCAGCCTGGCCTGTCTGTTTTCCCTTCTGTAAAAGCAGGGATGGCCTGGAAAGAATTTCTCCCAGCTCTGCTGCCCTCCTTCCACATCCCCCAGCTAAAAGCCCATGCCTTGAAGATTTTCTCTTGGCTCTGCTTCATTGCCAGTGTTCTTGGAGTACTATCCTAGCACTAAATGAAGACTCATAGAAAAGGGTTGGGAGTTTTTACAGTCTTACTCTGTCTCTAGTGCTGTACTGTCCAATATGGTAACTGCCAGTCATATGTGACTATTTAAATTTAAATTAATTAAAATATTCAGCTCCTTTCTTCATGCTAGCCACATTTCAAGTATTACCTGGCTAGTAGCTGCCATACTGGTTAGCACAGTTATTGAATATTTCCATTATCGCAGAATATTTCTAGTAGATAGCACTGGTGTAGGACTTCTCTGAATTCTATCATGCCAGCTCATAAACAGTCATTAAAGATTTGTTAAAAGTTAGGCTGATTACTTGTAGTTTCCTCCTTCCTACATTTCAGTCAGGGATAAGAGCAAAAGTGGATCATCTTTTATGAAGAGCTTGTCACTTTCTGGAGTCATTTAAGTCTGCATCCTCACACTGATAGGGTTAGAGAAACTATGATTATGCAGCTTTATTTTGTTTGTTTTGGTTGTCATGATGAATACAATTCTCATGCAACTTGCACATCTAAATCAAAGGTCTTTCTAGTCAGGTATTTTCTTATTTAAAAAGTGGCAATTGGTCAATCCACAAATGTATGTCCATAGGTAAGGATGTTTTTAGCTGCATATAACAGAATATTCCATTACAATTAGGTTTAAACCGGTGTTCCTCAAACTTTAATGTGCATCTTAATCACCTGGGGATCTTATTAAATTGCAGATGTTTGACATAGTAGGTCTGAAGTGGGATCTGAGAGATTCTGCATTTCTAACTAAACTCCCATGTGATGATGATTCACAGACTGCTCTTAAAGCAACAAAGGTTTAAACAATAAAAATTGTTATTATCTCACTTAAGAAGTCCACAGGAAGGTGGTTCAGGGATAGACTCTGCAATTCAGTGTTGACATCAAGGATCCAGGCTTTTTTTTGAGTTGGAGTCTCACTCGGTTGCCCAGACTGGAGTGCAGTGGCCGCTCCTGGCCACCGCAGCCTCACCTGCTGGGCTCCGGCGATCCTTCCGCCTCAACCTTCCAAGTAGCTGGAATTACAGGCATGCGCTACCACGCCCGGCTGGTTTTTTGATTTATTGTAGAGATGAGGTCTCACTGCCCAGGCGGGTCTCGAACCCACGGGCTCAGGCAATCCACTCACCTCAGCCTCCCAAAGGCGTGGGGTTACAGGCTGAGCCACCGAGCCTGGCTGCAGGCTTTTTTGTTTGTTCTTTTTGGCCATTCTCAGCATGAAGGCGTTTGCTCTCAGGGCTTCACAGTCTCATGACAACCTTTGTAGCACCAAGAATCAAGTCCCCACACAGAAAGTTCACGACAGGAAGGAAGGGTACAGTAAGTTCATGACAGGAAGGAAGGGTACTTTATCAATTGCCAACTTTTTTTTTTAAGGCTAGTCAAGTGAAACAGTGGGAGTGAAGAAAGCACAAAGAAATCTGTAACTAGCTGTTATCACTTTGTTGTAAATACCACTGCACTTGGACCAGCCCCAATTTTACAGAAACTTGCCCTGCAGATTTCTCCTTTGGTCTCACCAGCACTGGGAGACATATGTCCATTCCCTACTTGCAAGGATGGCTAGGAAAGTAAGTGTATGTGAATGGTTGCTGAATAGGCAAGTATAAATGCTTGTCTCAAACTGAAACCAAATGGAGTACCTCTATAGTCCTTCAATTCCCTATTTCACTATAGCTACAGTTACACGTTCTACACATGTGTCTGCCTTCTGCCACCTTTTCTTTCTTTCTTTCTTTCTTTTTTTTTTTAACAGAAGTCTCACTCTGTTGCCCAGGCTGGAGTGTAGTGGCATGTTCATGGCCACCACAGCCTTGACCTGCTGGGCTCAGGGGATTCTTCCACCTTAGCCTTCAAAGTAGCTAGAACTACAGGTGTATGCTACCATACCTGGCTAATTCTCAAATATACTGTAGAGACAAGGTCTCACCAAGTTGCCCAGGCTGCTCTTGAACCCCTGAGCTCAGGCAATCCTCTCACTTCGGCCTCCCAAAGTGCTGGGATTACAGGCTTGAGCCACCGTACC